AGATAGATAGATAGATAGATAGATAGATAGATAGATAGATAGGGATAGGGATGGATGGATGGATGGATGGATGGATGGATGGATGGATAGATAGATAGATAGATAGATAGATAGATAGATAGACGGATGATAGATAAAGATCTGTGATGCCAGTACAAAAGGATGGAGCTTGCATCATGATAACATGATGGACATTTTGTCGTGTTGGTATCATCATGGCTACCTGTGGATAAAGAAACAGAGAAAGTTGTATATGTTAGAAAAAAGGACGTGGCTGATGTAGATTGCACGTAAAGGTGAGGAATGTTGTAGCAATGACTCAAGAACATGTTTTGAGTGGAAAGGAGGCTACTGTGCATTCTGCACCTTGACTTACTATGATGTGGAATGAGGTGCTCTTCAAACTTCTACCTGAAAGCTACTAGACCCTGCCAGGAAAGGGGGGAGCCAGGATGGACATGATGCATCCATCTTCATGCTTCTTGATCTCTCAGTGGCTTTTGATACCATCTACCATGCTATTCTTCTGGGTTGGGAATAGGGGTCACTGTTCTGTGGTGGTTCTCTTCCTTCCTCCAACACCAGTTTCAGTTGATGTTGGTTGGGGAAGAGATCATTACCTAGGCCCCTCCTTTGTGGGATGCCACAGGGCTCAACACTCTCACCTTTTATCCAACTTCTACAGGACATGAAACTCTTGGGTGAGGTCATCCACTGGTTTGGGGTTTGCTGTCATCAATAGGCTGATGATACCCAGTTATATCTTTCAACTCCGGGCTGGCAGAGTGAGGCTGTCCAGGTTCTGTCCCAGTGCCTGGAGGCTGTGCAGGTTTGGGTTGGGAGGAACTGTCTCCGACTCAATCCTACCAAGACCAAGGGGCTGTGGCTGTTGGGGCTGCCTAGATCTGGGGATATTCCATGTTTAACCTTGGATGGAGTTGCACTGCCATTCAAGAGTGGTGCACAGTCTGGGAGTCTTCCCTGATGGACAGCTCCTGCTTGGTGGCAAGTATAGCCAGGAAGGCCTTTGCAGAGCTCCATCTGGGTGTAAGTTGCACCCTTTCCTAGATTGGGAGGCCCTTCAGATAGCCCTAGTCACTCACAGCTCGATTGTTACAATGAACCTGACATGAGGCTGCCCTTGAAAACCACCCAGAGGTTTCCACACAGGCAGTGATGGGCATGCCTCAGTACGCTCCTGTATCATCTCTGCTTCGTGAGCTGCACCGGTTGCCAGTTTGATTCCAGGTGCCATTCAAGATGCCGTTGATAACCTATAAAGCCCTTCGTGGCCTGGTTGCTTGAGGGATGTCTATCTTCCCTAGTATCTGCCGAACCGCTTCGACCTGACAGGGTTGGTATGCTCCAGGTGTCTTTCATGAAACAATGCCATCTATTGAGACACTGGAAGCGTGCCTTCCCTGTTGCGGTGGAAAGGCTTCCTTCCAGGAAGAGAGAGGCAAATGGATTGCTTGACAGGGGAAACATTTTTTCAGGTACAGGAAAACAGCACCAAGTGGCCTTAGTCGCTAGAGCTGTGCAACCCTTCTGATTCCAAGGAAAAGAGTATTTTAAAGTCTGCAAAGGTAGCTCCCTAAAGCAATGATCTCTTTTCCCAGGAACCTGTGGCTGCCCTCTGCAGCTGCAGCACGATGCTGAGTGGATCCATGCTCTGGAGCACCTACTTCTCTTTGAAACTGAAGCACTGCAGGGCTCTCTTGATCACAGCTTAAGTGTGGGCCCCACAAGGTGGGGCACAGCATCTTGGAAATGGTGTGCAAAATTGGGAGTATTTGTTCAAAGCAGCTCATAATCTCCTCAGATGGCAGCCTGCGTTGGGAGAGAGGAAAAGTACCCCTGGTGTAAATACTCAGACCAAGCAAGTCACAGGCAGAACTAGGCACACAAACCTGCTGGGTTTTTTTGGTTTTTGCTGAACTTTACCTTTTCATGTTGTATCTGAGTTGGTAAGACAAAAATATGCTCAGAAAGAAACTTTAGGAAAGTATTCCAGCCTAGAGCTGCAAATCTGAGTATAGTTATTCCCGCAATGAGCCTTTAACTCACTGGATTCTGAAGGGATGACTTTCTCTGCAAAATGTGTCAAATAACCCACCATTTGGATTGGAAATAGCACTCTGTTCATTCACACAACACTGAGGGCCAAAATGTGATTTGCTTGAAGATGGCTTAGGGTGTCAAGCGAGCCAAGGAGTGTGGGATGTCACCCATGGTTTATGCCTTAGTTTATGACATGAATCTAATGGGGATGTGGCTTATTCAGTAAACCATGATTTAGCATATTGTATGAGAAGGCCCTTTCCTCGCCTTGAGAACTAGGATTTCCCATCTGGAGCAGAGTTTCCCCGACCTTGAATGGAACAGAATCTTTATTGCCGTCAGTAATAAAACGTGATACTATAAACCGATTGCATGTATGAAAGAAAATATCAATCATAAAACAAAGGAGGTGTATCGATTAGTTGGCTATGCATTTCACATATAAAATTTTACTACGCTGAAAGTGACAGACTCACATGTATCCAAAAGTAAAATGGTAAATAGAACTGGTTGAGGCAACCAGGGAACTTGTTCAAGTGTGGGTTACGAACTCTAAATGTGTAGCAACATAAAACAGGCAATAAAATGTGACTTACAGTTTCCATAGCTTCTCTGCCACAGAGCAAAACATTGACCCAAATGGAATGCCCTCTCTATAGCTCTTCTAAGATGGCTATAGAGAGGGCATTAAATTGTGCCAGCCAGAATGCCTTCTTGTATTTGGAGATTATAATTCAGCTTCTAAAGGGTAAAGGAATTAGTTGGTAATGTAGCCTTAGAAAGACATGCCTGGTCTAATTGAATATCATTATCCTTAATCCGTTGCCTCAAGCCTAGTATTGCACATTCATGCCCGAGGATGCAGAGTTGAGTTAAGGAGAATCCAAGTTGCTCCAGTTTTTTATCCATGGCTTTAGATCAAGATGAGACAAAGTTATCGATAAGAAAGCTTTGGGGGCTGCTTGGCAATGACCCATCCTTGGTTTTATTATAATTAATTTCCAAGGCTTTTGAATCAGCCAAAGCTCTCAGGACCCTCCAGGCCAATGAGAATCTGGGCAAATTATGTCATTCACATAGAGATCCCCTACCTGATGTGTTCCAGATGTGTTGGGACTTTTACTTCCTGCCTTCTCTGACAAGGCTTTTGTAATCTTCGTAAGATCATAGAAGTAACCGGTCACTCTTCCCTCCCTCTCCCCCACCTTTCCAGTCTCATCGGAAGTTTTCGGCTCCCAGGCACGGCCACCTGGGCTTCCTTCCTCATAAGAGGAGCCGCCGACATCGAGGGAGAGTGAAGAGCTGGCCCAAGGATGATCCCAGCAAACCAGTCCACCTGACTGCCTTCCTGGGCTACAAGGCTGGCATGACTCACATCCTGCGGGAACTTCATAGACCGGGACTAAGTATGTGCTGAGTTCGCTTATTTCTATTCCTCACCTGGAGAGAAGCGAAGAGTTCCATAGAACTCAAGAACAGTGGCCACCAAGCCCAAAGAGCTGCTCTGTTAAGAAATCCAAATTAAAGCATGCGTGACAAGCGGCCATCTGTCTAGCTTCTACTTGAACTCATCAAGGAAAGGGTGAACCACTATTTCTCTAGGGCGTTGGTTTCTCAGTCAAACTACTCTTTCTTTTAGGAGTTTGTTTTCAGATGTAATGTCAAATCTTTCCTCTTCCTCCAGGTGAGTTCAACTCCTGGTGACATCCATGTGCTTAGAGAAGTGGTTTGCTGCTATTCTCTTTTGTTCGTTTTTTAGTCTAGATATAGCCCCGGGGTTCCTCATGGTCCCTTATCCACATACTCACCAGCTCTGACTTTGCCTAGCCTTTTTCTTCGAGACCAGCCAAGATTATTCCATGTCCTGCATGCTGGCAGGATCTTGACCTATTTGAAGTCCTTCAGGGACTTGAAAAGTGCTATCATGTCCCCTCCTTACCTTCAGTCTTCTCTTCTCAAGGCCAACATACCCAGTTCCTTTGGTCTCTCCTCCTAAGGCCTCTAATCTTCCTCATTGCTCTTCCCTTCATCTCTTCCACTTTCAGTCCTTCTTAGAATATTGTACCCAGACTAGAACAGAATATTCAAGGTGAGGGCTGACCAACGCAGAACGGAAGAACCTTTGATGCTTGTGGGAAATGGAAACACTCAAGGTGGTCATTTCTATTTGACATAGTCTGTGGATGTTTTTTTGTAGAAAAGCTCTGCCCAGACCAGTCTCTCCCAAACGGTTGGGACTGCAGCATATGTCCAGAGGGTACCATGTCTGAGAAGGAAAGTGCTCATACAGTAGCTCTTACCAATGGACTGATCATAGGAAATACAGTGAGCTGGATAAAATATTGTGCTTATCCATTGAACAAACCACAACTGGCTGGGTTTTTGTAACATGCTAAGCCATAACCCATGGTTTATTTTTTGCAATGGCAGGATTCATGTGTCTCACAAAATCATAAATCATGGTTTGGCAAAAAAACCCACCTTATGACTTAGTTGGATGTGGGAGCCCCACCATTAAGCCTTTCTGGACCACATCCTCAGTTTTTTTTCCTCCTTTAATCTCCAGAAATCTCTAAGAGAGAGGAAGTGGAAGCTGTCACCATAATTGAGACTCCGCCATTGGTGATTGTTGGGCTGGTGGGCTATATCGAGACACCGAGAGGGCTGAGAAATTTCAAGACCATCTTTGCAGAACATATAAGCGATGAATGCCGAAGACGCTTCTACAAGAACTGGTGAGGGTAAAGCCAGGCTGCTGTTGTGCTACAGTGCCCTGTTTGAACAGGAGAAAGTTGACTGATTGACTGTGCTTTGGAATTGCTTTCAGTGAAAAGTGGGCTAAAAATATAATTAAATACATACCTAATGTTTTGGATCAGTGAAATCAGTGACTCTCCAGGATTGCAGGTGTTTTCCTCCAGCCTTTGGTATGACCTTTTCTGTCACCCCAAGGGTGGCTACCAAGTTGTGATTTTACTGTGGTGGAAAAGGGAAGAGTAACCTTATTAAGTATATTCAGCGTAATTAAAATAAGGCTGAATTCTCACATGATACGAGATTTCACTAAAACGGAGTGGGTGGAAACACAGCCACTGAACTGTAAACCAGGCCATCATGTTAAATCAGAATATCAGTTCAATGTTTTCATGCTCTAGACTCAGCATTATGGGTGTTACCTGAGTGTAACATCTGGAGGATCTGATAGGACTTGGCCTTCTGGGAGGTGAGGATCCAAACCTTGCCTAAAGAATCTGGAGTTGAGCCCTCTCTCCAGGGACTGGTAGATTCCCACAGGAGCAAGTAGTGTTTTGCTATCCTCGTCTCAGTCCATGGAGGCTGAGCTGTGGATATCAGGACAGGCTCCACACCATTTTCTTGCTACAGCCTTGTTGGAAATGTGCAGATAATTCCTGTTTTCCTTGGATTTGCTAGCTGATTTCCCCTGACATAATCTGCTGCTTCTTCTCAGGCACAAGAGCAAAAAGAAGGCGTTCACCAAGTACTGCAAGAAATGGCAAGACGAGGCTGGGAAGAAGCAGCTGGAGAAGGACTTTGTGTCCATGAAGAAGTACTGCAAGATCATCCGTGTCATTGTGCACACCCAGGTGAATATTTTCCACAAGTCTTTGGAGCACTTCTATGAACATATCTGGGAGAAGTTGTCTGGCCCGTTGGATGGTCAGACTCACTCATGCTTTGTTACTGTTTTTTTCTGCTTGATTGTACGGGGTCTGATTGATTGTCAGACATGGTCTGCTGTGGGGCTTGTGTCTCATCTTCAGAGTCGGAATACTTGTCCCTGAAGGACAGCTGGAGTTGCTAGTCCCTCTGAGCATGGACAAAAAGTCTACCTCTCACTTCTGGTTTTGATCAAGGAACACAAACACAACATGTTTAGATGAAGCCAAAGCAGTGTTAAATAATTTGTGGTTCAGCATTGCGAAGTCCAGGTCCTGGTTTAAAAAGAAGTGCTTAGACATCACACGAACACAACCCCTCCCTGCTAGTCCCTAAAGCAGCCCGTCATTTGAGGGGCTTCCACCTCAGTCTGAAAAAAGCTGCTGCTGCTTTAAGGAGCCCACACATTCAAAGGAATGCAGCCTAGCTAATCCAGGCTTCGTATCCCCCAATGGCCCACTGGATGCATTGGGGGGAGCCCCCAAGCCGAGACCGGAGGGCAAGAGCCCCCTTTACTGTCACTTTGCAGAGCATTCTTGAAGGCTTGATGCCGAGGAGGAGGGTTAACTCAAGAGCTATCAGTTGTAGTAGCCGTTGGGAACCTGATCCTCCAGGAGCTCACCCAGATCTCTTTTCAAACCACCAAATCAGTGCCCTGATCACAACTGCTGGCAGCAAATTGCACTATTTTAATTAAAGCCATTTCCTCGCCATAGCATCTTCATAGCATCCCCAAACATAATTGAAGTGATACAAGGCCTGTCCTCATTACTGCTAATTTGGCCCAACAATGATTGGATGACTCGCGGGGCAATGGAGAAATAGGACTTATTTTCTCTTGCTGCCCTGAGGTTCATGAGATGATGCTGATTCTAACATTGCAAAAGGGGGATAAAACATTCTCTCTCCCCACATTCTCTGAGCCATGTGTGATTTTATAGACCTCTTTTGTCCCTCCCCACCTCCTTTGTTCCAAGTTAGAGAGCCCTAATTGCTGTAATACTCCAACAAAGGGGGGGGGGGGGGTGCTCCACCCCCCAATCATTTTGATTACCCTTCTTCACACCTTTCCCAGCTCTCTAATTTCCTAATTGCTGTAATACTCCAACAAAGGGGGGGGGGGGGGTGCTCCACCCCCCAATCATTTTGATTACCCTTCTTCACACCTTTCCCAGCTCTCTAATTTCCTAATTGCTGTAATACTCCAACAAAGGGGGGGGGGGGTTGCTCCACCTCCCAATCATTTTGATTACCCTTCTTCACACCTTTCCCAGCTCTCTAATTTCCTTCTTAAGTGCAATGCCAGTACTTCAGAAAACAGTTCTTGAAGTCTGGTCTCACTATAGATTTGGAAAGGGCATTGTTTTATCAGCGGTTCTACAACCAGTTCAACTCAGTTTAATTGAGTTTAACCTTGAAAGAGGAAGAGAAGTGACAGCAAAAGAGACATCTGCCTCCAAATTGCTGCAATCCCAACAGAGAGTATCAGACAACCTGGGAGCATGGAGGGGCAGGGGGAACACGAACAAGAAACTCAGAGTTCACCACTAACCACCACTAATCCAGGAGAGGCCCAGACTGGGAGGCCCTGGAGAGCAGCACAGTCGAGAGTCCTTCCCTACTCGCCACGTAGGGCATACAGGTAGCGCTCCCAAAGAGTGGTGCTTGGATCATTGTATGTTGACATTTGGGAGGATGTCAGCCTGCCTTAAGGCATGAGAGTATCTCGGAAGGTTTTCTCTCTTGTGGTTGTGTCTGGGAGTGCTTGCAGGAGGTGGGTCTGCCAGCAGCCTAAGCCAGATGGGCTTGATTGCTCCCTGCAGCCAATGAAGAAACATTTGGCAGTGAATTCTGTACTGGAGACTTTCCATTACAAACCAACTCTATAGTCCCAACTCTTCTCCTCGGAGGACTGAGGAGGTCCCCTTTCTGACTGAACTTTGGTATTCCCACAACACAGTTGGCCAGGTGAGGGCACATGAACCTCAAATGAAATGCTGCTCCCCGATCCCAGACATGATTAGGTTTACCTATTCCCACATACTAAACTTCTCAAGGGTGTCATGCGACTATAGCCACAAAGTCCCAATCTCCTGCAACAGCCAAATTCTGCAAGCAGGTGGAGGGTTTTGAGTGGCGAGACCTCCTGCCCGTTACCTCTGTGGCCAGTTAAGTTTTGAACCTGAGTCTTTGCACTGTCTCTGCTGCACAGTGTGATTTTTGAGCACTTTTGGTTGCAGTTGAAGCTCCTGCCGATGCGGCAGAAGAAGGCACATATTATGGAGATCCAGCTCAACGGGGGCTCTGTGGCAGAGAAAGTAGCCTGGGCTCGTGAGAAGCTGGAGAAGCAGGTGGCCGTGCACAGTGTCTTCAGCCAGAATGAGATGATCGATGTCATTGGGGTCACCAAGGGGCACGGGATGAAAGGTAGGAGGGAGCAGACGTGAAATCAGCCCTTGAAGGATCAAAGGAAGTGGTATGATTACAGATTGCACTTCAAATGCATGACTCCAGGAGCCATTCAAGATATGTGGGAAAGTAGATCTTTTTTTCATTTCCGAAAGAAACTCTAGACAGAGATCAGAAATCAGATCAGTGTCTATATCTTCCTTGGGACCTGTTAGGTCCCCTGCTCAACCTTCACGAAAGCACTTGCAGCAACTTTATTTACAGAAATGGTTTTTGGTCTCCAGATGGTCTCTGTATGGATTCTAAGAAACTGTAGTTAGAAGTAGACTTTTGCGGGATCAGAGGCCCATTGGAACATGTGGGGGACACATTCACAAAATGTCTGCCGCAGCTTTCTGCGTGGGTGGCCTGGCCAGTCCCAAGACCCCCAGTGACCCGAAGACAAATTAACAGCTCCACCCTGCGCACTGTCTAGCACGCCAGAGTGGGAGCTCAAGACATTTCTGTTCGTAATACCAGGGTCTAATGGTTTGCTTGGAGCATCCCACGTTTTCTGCTCGAATAATCTTTTAGAAGACAGTCAGGAGACTGCCCAGCACCGAAGGAGGCAACTGCCCCTTTCGTGAGTGGTTGCACCCCCACGCTTTGTTGGGGAAGTAGTCAGCTTGCCATTAAAAGCCCGTTGGTAGAGAGCATTCTGGGGAAAGGGCAGGAGGGGGGAACAAACCTCTCCAATGTGTGACAGCTGGAATGACAGCTGGAATAAACAGAACGGTAGGGTATGAATTTAACAGGAAATAAAAAATCATGGTAGCCGTTTTGTGAGAGTGCCCACAACATGCTCCCACAATTCCAAGTATGGGGAAACAGCATGCCTGTTCTTTTTCAACCCCCTTTTCTTCTTTAAGGAAAGGGTGCTGGTCCTGTGGTCCTCTTGTCAGCCATCAAGGGAGGCCAGGTCAAGAAAGAGGCACGGCCAGAATTACAGAAATGCTCTTTTTTGACTGTGGGGTAGAATACAGCAACGGAATCTTGAAAGCCTATTTCATCTTATACCAAGCAAAAGTGGGGCCGGGGGGGGCGGGGGTTGAGTTTCTCATGCTTTCCACTTTCTCAGTAGTCTTTAGTCTTTTCTAAAACTCCTCCTTTAATGCTTCACTCATTCCTTCCCCATCCCAAGACTAGGTCTACATTTTTTTTGTCCTTCTAGATGTTATGGTAGCTATAACTAAAGCTCCAACAACCCAACCGTTAATGGTGAAGGACTGCACTTCAGCAGCATCTGGAGGACCACTGAGTCCCCATCCCTGCTTCAGAGCCTTAGAAGTTCACTGTCCCTCTCTGTAACCCCAAGGCTTTCTTTCTGCAGGGGTGACGAGTCGGTGGCATACCAAGAAACTTCCAAGGAAGACTCACAAAGGCCTGCGGAAGGTTGCCTGCATCGGAGCCTGGCATCCTGCCCGGGTGGGCTATTCAATTGCCCGGGCTGGCCAGAAGGGCTACCATCACCGCACAGAACTCAACAAGAAGGTATGACTCCCCCCCTTGTTTGAAGCCCAAACACAACAACGGCCCCCAACTGCACCTGTGTCCAGTGGAATCAGAGTGCCTTGGACCTGGGAAGAGGGGCTGCGACCTACAGATCCGTCTTTCTTCCTCGCCCACCAGCTCTTTGAGAGAAGTGGCTGCCAGACTGGCAAGTGCCTGCTGGGGCTTGGCAAGTCTGCAGCAAGGCCCACCTGGGAATGGAGAATTCAGGATCTGACCATTATCCAGATGTGGCGAGACTGCAACTTCCCAAATCCCTCGCTGAAGTTGCTGTTGGGAGAATTCTGAAAAAGCTCGTGCAACACCCCAGCTCTAATTCTGCATCTTGCAATATGGGGGTGGGGGGGTGGGCTTTGTACCACAAAACGGGTACCAAGAAACAGCTGACATAAACAAGGTCCAAAATTTTAGGGGAGCTTCTCTATGTCATTTTCACTTTGCCTTCTGTAGGGGAACACTCAGTACTACAAAATTGATATGTCACAATTGAAGTGTTAATACAGGTAGTCCCTGGGTTAAGAACGCCCAGTTTACGGATGATCCATAGTTAAGAATGGAGCCTGTTGTAGCAAAATTCGAGTTAAATACACAAGGGTTCGAGTTAAATATACAATGGTTTGAGTTAATTACACAATGCTACTTATACAGTATTATACAATAATACTGTTCTAGCCTACATACAAATTCGACTTAAGGACAGACCTCGGGAACGGAATGTGTTCTTACACTGGGGACTGCCTGTAACTAAAGCCTCCCTTTTTAATATAATCCATTACATAATTTATTGCATAAAACCTAAGGAATATTTGCAACCCAAATATCTCTGTCCAGTATAATCTACCTTTTTCCTTTCTTGCTTTCCTCTCTACTGTTTATTCAGGCAACTTTAGCGGTAGCCCTTGTGTCATGCCATATCTTGAAAGTGTGCTTACAAAGGCTATAGCTAACACTGGGAAATCAGGAAAACATTCCTGAAAAAGGCAGATGAGTTTTATACCCTGTTGCTAGAAAACTGCATGGTCGTGGCTCTGAAGTCACCAGGAGTCAACTCAAAGAAGCCTTTTTCTTCCAGAGCCCGTAAGCAACAACTTTTAGCAGCTCAGAGCAAATCTGATCAGGAGGGGGGAATGGGGACGATGCAGCATCCCGTGCCTCCGTTGCGCTGACGTTGTCCATAAGAGCAGAGTTACAGGCCGAGTCTCAGAAATCTGGTGCGCAAAAGCAGGGAGGGCTTTGGCATCAGTGGTGAAGGTGGACTTTGCCAGTCTTCACTGCCCAATTTGCTGAGTATCTGGGAAATAACCACTTTGGCCAAATCTCTTTCCTTTAGATTTATCGCATCGGCCGTGGGGTCCGTGTAGAAGATGGCAAAGTGGTAAAAAACAACGGGTCCACCAGTTACGACACAACAGAGAAAACCATCAACCCACTGGTAAGGACGTGAGAAGGAAGGCTAGTTCTTCTAGCTAGAGAATGTGGAGTCCTTGCAAAGAGGCCCTGGTCCTTTGGGTGCCTCATTATGAACCCTTCTCTGCATTTGTCGAGTTTTTAAAGTCAGCATGAAAACCCACATTTTAAAGGAATATCTTGTCTCTCAAAATCCACCTTCGACATCCATTTTCTCCCAAATGAATTCTAATACTGTTCTGGGAACAGTGGAAGAACTTTCGGGAGCACCGGTGTGGTTTCTTTGACCAAGTCCTGATCATCATTTCAGCTCAGGAGATGCATAGGTGAAACCCCTTTTCCTGAGTAAACTGCATTGCTTCCCTTTCTTGTTTCATCTGAAGAGGCCCAGACATGGAAAACTGTGGCTACCGGTGAAAGCTATCCAGGTTGGGTTAGACGGGTCAGAGGACTCAGCCCGGCTCTAGGCGGTTTTGTGCAAAGATGGAATGCTGTAAAGCATGATGAATGCACTAGAGAGTGTGCCAGTCATGACATTAGCATGTTCACAATTGGCCATTCTTATAGAAGCAGCCATTTTGTGCATGGACAAATTCCTCTGTGGCAGCCATTTCTTTTGAGTGCCATGACATGCTTCCCAAGTGTCACATATGCCTGCTGGTCCAACAAAGTTGGGATACCCCCACCCCCCATGATGACCTTTCCACCTTTCTGTCTTCCAGGGTGGATTCCCTCAGTATGGAGAAGTCAACAATGACTTTGTGATGTTGAAGGGCTGTGTGGTGGGTACCACAAAGCGGGTGCTGACCCTGAGGAAGGTGAGGGCCTCATTGAGGCATTGTGAAGGACAGCAGATGAGTCAGAGGAAGAAGGACAAGAGTGTTTTTTGGGGAGGGATGGGGTTGGCCTGTGGTGGTTTTCTGATCCAAGATGGTAGGGAAACTGCTGCTCTCCAGAGGGTGAGGCTGGGAGTCTCCGAGCCAGAACAGATGGGCATTTCAGCTGCTTTTGAGCAGCAAAACTGGAAGCATGCAGTCAACAAGAGCACACCAGACTCTTGCGTGGGTAGGATGGGAAATGCTGTGAACCTGCTATAGAAATGCTTCTTGTGTGCTGGCCTGAGTTTCTCAGAAGAAACACAGGAGGAAATAGACATTAGGAACAACAACAAAAAAAGAATTATTTTTATTCATTATTCTCTAGTCAAGGTTCTAGGCACACAGACTGTGGCTAGTTCTGGACTCAAGGTTGTGTATGAAAGGCTTTTGCAGTGCTTGTGCACAAGTTAAAACACATCCTGAGCAATATGCTTTGGTGAGGGGCTTGGAAGTTTCCACCACAGATTGTAGCTGCCCTCCATCTATGAACCCAGCTCTCAGCTCATGTCCATTTACTGCATTTATATCCTGCCTTTCCTCTGAGAGACCAAGACAGCGTGGACGGGGATCTCCCTTCCTTTCATCCCCCCCACCACCGCCACCACCAGAGAAGGTGTGTCTGGCCCAAAGACCCCTGTTGAGCTTCCAGAGCTGAGGGTGGGCCTGTGTCTGGGTCCCCCCAGTCCTAGTCCAACATTTTAACCTCTATGCTGTGCTAGTTTCGTCAAAAGAAGGAATGGAAACCTAACCCGTGTTTGAGCCTGTTGTCTGGACGAGCCCTTAGCCTTCCAGGACCATTTACCACGGCTCCCCTTGGCTTCTACTTTAACCATTTCCTCCTGCCCGTCCAGTCCCTTCTGGTCCACACGAGCCGAAAAGCTCTGGAGTCCGTTGAGTTGAAATTCATCGACACCACGTCCAAGTTTGGCCACGGCCGCTTCCAGACTGCCCAAGAGAAGCGGGCTTTCATGGTGAGTTTGTGCTCTGAAAGATCACACCCAAACAAACTGACGGGAAGGGAGTAGAAGAAGAAAGCAGGGTTTGCTTCAGTCAGCCAAGACTGAGGGAGTCACGTGGGAAGTGTTCTGCTGGTGCATTCACAGGTTAACTTCAGGATTTGATCCAAACGGTTATTTTTTATTTTTGCAGTTGGAAACTGACCCTTTAATTAGGAAAGGAAGCAGTGAGGTTAGCTGTTCATTCTGGAACCCAGTGCAATTTTTCTCTTTACTTTTGCTCTACAAAAAAGCTCAAGTTACCAAAAGAAATAGACACATCCCTCTAAAATAGATCGATTTGCAGTTTTTGTTCCAAGGCACGCCATGTTTTCATTCTAGAACGGTTTTCGTGCTGCTTAATCTCCCTTTTTGCTCCTGACAAGATTCAGTCGTGACAATTACATTTTCAGTCGAGAATTTGAAGCTTTAAAAAGCCTCCTCATCAGATCCTTTTCTTTGTGGTTCAACAAAAGCATCGAACATCTCTCTGAGGCCCCATTCCCACACCCTCCTCGCCGGGCGCCGAGATTCACAGCCAGCTAGCCCTTTGCTGAGGAGGCATCCCGCGCAAGAGAGCCCCGTCTCGGCCCCAGCAGGAGCGGGTCACAGTGACCTGCCAAGAAAGGGGTTTTCCATGGGGAAGCGCAGCACAGCCCCCATGCAAACACCCCGTTTGTGCGGAGCAGGGGCCTGAGGAGGTCAGCGGCAGGCCGGGCTGCAACCGGCCACTGCAGGACCAGCCCCTCCTAGCCACTGCGGAGGTCTGCCCTCCGTGGCCGGTTCTGCCACTGCCGTGGGAATACAACCTCCCCACCAGCCAGAGTTTGCTTTTTCTTCGTAGGCTCCGGCAGCGTCAGCCATCTCCGGGGAGGCGGCTCACCGGGCTGCAGTTCCTACCGGGGGCTTGCATTGCTCAGTTCTTCCCCTTCCAGCAGGCGTGGAGTCTTGCCAGAGAGGAGAAAACACGGGGAACCACGGCAGGGGCAGTGGGTCCAAAAAGCCAAGATGCGAGACATGTAAAAAGGGGCCAGGCTTGGACTACACTGTCGCAGCTGCCCTCTTCACCTTTTTGACTCTGCCTGATGCCTCTGTAGCACGCGATCTTTTTTTTTGCCACATGGAACCCAAGAAAGAAAAGAGTTGCACATAAAAATACATTAGTTTTTTTTAAATCTAGGATTCTTCCCACTCAGCAGTTGGACCTGGTGAGGGGTGGGTGGGGGGGCGTATGGAGAGACAACCTAGCCCCCTCCGAGCATCAGACGAGGTCTTTGCTTCCTTTCCTCCCTCTCCTGCGGGGCTCTTTTTTCACCCTTGAGCTGCTCTCTCCCACCATCTTGGACACATTGGTCCCAATCCAGTACAGAACTTTTTTTAAAAAAAG